TCCGCTCAATTGACTGAACCAACCAGGCACCCCAAGCTTCCCCCATTTTTACGTATTGAGTGGATGTGGTACATTAGTTATAACTGAGAGATCAATATTGATACATTGTTACTAACTATAAAGTCATGGTTTAACTAGGATTCATTTTTGGTGTCAGAGTTCTTTTTTTTTAAGGATTTTTTTTTATTCCTTTGAGAGAGAGAGAGAGTGAGAGAGCAGGACTGGGGGGAGGCAGAGGGAGAGGGAGAAGCAGACTTCCCACTAAGCCAGGAGCCTGATGCGGGGCTCGATCCCAAGACCCTGGGATCATGACCTGAGCTGAAGGCAGACGCTTAACTGACTGAGCCACCTAGACACCTTAGTGTCAGAGTTCTATGGGTCTGCCAAATGTATAGCATCCACCGTTACAGTATCACATAAATAGTGTCATTGCCCTAAAAATCCCCCATGTATAACCTTTTCATCCCTCCTATCCTCTCTGCCCCCATAACTCTTGGAAAACACTAAATTTTTACTGTCTACATAATTTTGCCTTTTTCAGAATGTCATATAATTGGAATCATAACATATGAAGCCTTTCAGATTGGCTTCTTTCACTCAGCAATATGTATTTAAGGTTTCCCCATGTATTTTCATTGCTTGATAGCTCATTTATTTTTATTGCTAAACAATATTTTACTGTATGAATGTACTATGGTATATGGTATATATGTACTATATGGTATCCATTCCCCTATTGAAGGACATGTGGTTGCTTCCAATTTTTGGCCATTATGAATAAAGCTGCTACAATCACTCATGTAGGTTTTTGTGGGAGCATATATTTTCATTCATTTGGGTAAATACCTAAGGGTGCGGTTGCTGGATTATATGGTAAGAATATGATCAATTTTGTAAAAAACTACCAAGCTGTCTTCCAAAGTGTCTATATCCTTTGGCATTCTCATTAACAATGCATAGGAGTTCTTATTGTGCCACATCCTCACCAGCATTTGGTCTTGTCGATGTTTTGGATTTTGGTCCTTCTAATATGTATGTAGTCGTATCTCGTTGTTTAATTTGCAAATCCTTTATGACATATGTTGAGCATCTTTCATATGCTTCTTTGCCATCTGTATATCTTCTTTGATGAGGTGTCCATTCAAATCTTTTCTGCCTATTTTTTAATTGAGTTGTTTATTTTCTTTGAGTTTTAAGAGTTCTTTTCATATATTGAATACATGACTTATATATTTTCAAATATTGTTTCTTACTCTGTAGCATGTACTTTCATTTTCTTTACAATATCTTTTCTAGAGCAGAAGTTTGTGTGTGTGTGTGTGTGTGTGTGTGTGTTTATGAAGTCCAAATTATACATTTTTACTTTCATGGATCATTCCTTTGTTGTATTCAAAAATCTGTTGCCAAACCCAGGCCACCTAGATTTTCTCCTACATTATCTTATAGAAGTATTACAGTTTGCACTTTACATGATTTATTGAGTTAATTGATTTATGGAGTTAATGATGATTTATTGAGTTAATTTTTAAAAAAGATGTAAGGTCAGTGTCAATTCCTTAAATTTTTTGTTTTTTTCATGAGAATGTCTGGTTGTTCCAGGATCATTTGTTGAAAAGATCATACTTATACTTTGGATTGCCTTTTTTGTGTGTGAAAAATAAGTTCAATATATTTGAATATATTTGCATAGGTCTATTTTGGGGCTCTATATTTTGTTCTGTTGATCTATTTTTTTATTTCTGAAATAGTACAACATTTTCTTGATTACTATAGTTTTATAGTTGGTCTTGAAGTTGGGTAGTTTCAGTCCCCTGGGTTCATTCTTCTCATCAATATTCTGTTGGTTGTTTTGCCTTTCCACATAAACTTTAGAATCAGTTTGTTGATATCCACAAAATAATTTTCTGTTCATTTGAATGGGATTGCATTGAACCTATAGATCATTTTGAGAAAAACTGACATCTTAATAATATTGAGTCTTTCTATCCATGAACACGGAATATCTTTCCATTTATTTAGATCTTCTTTGATTTCTTTCACTAGTTTATATAGCTTTATTCATATAGGTCTTGTAAATATTTTGTTAGACTTACACCTATGTATTTTAAATTTTTGGTGCTAATGTGATGGTGTTGTGTTTTTATTTCAAGTTGTAACTGCTTGTTGCTGATAGATAGGAAAACAATGGACTTTTGTATATTAACCCTGTGTCCTGCAATTTTTCTATAATTGTCATTGCTACTAGGATTTTTTGTTGTTCTTGATTCTTTGCCATTCTCTACATGGACAACTATGTGATGTGTAAACAAAGAGTTTTATTTCTTCCTTCCCCATCTGTATGTATTTTACTTCCTTTCATTATCTTACTACATTAGCTATAACTTCCAGTACAGTGCAAAATAACAGTGGTGAGAACATTTTTTTTCTTCTGGTCTTTTGAGAAAAAAAATATAGTTTCACACCATTACATATGAAGTAAGCTGTAGGCTTTTGGTAGGTGCTGTCTATCAAGTTGAAAAAGTTCCCCTTATATTCCTAGCTTCCTGAGAGTTTTTACCATGAATGGGTGTTGGATTTTTTTCAAAGACTTTTTCAACATCTACTGGTGTGATAACATGACTTTGGTTCTTTTTTTTTTTTAAGATTTTATTTATTTATTTGCGAGAGAGAGAATGAGAGACAGAGAGCATGAGAGGGGGGAGGGTCAGAGGGAGAAGCAGACTCTCTGCTGAGCAGGGAGACTGAGAGGAACTCCATCCTGGAACTGCAGGATCATGACCTGAGCCGAAGGCAGTCGCTTAACCGACTGAGCCATCCAGGCGCCCCGTGACTTTGGTTATTTAGCCTATTGATGTAATGGATTACATTAATTTTTGAATATTTAATCTGACCTGCATACCTGGAATAAATCCCACTTGACTGAGGTGTACAATTCTTTCCATGCAACACTGGATTAAATTTACTAAGATATTATTGGGAATTTTTACATAATGTTTATGAAAGATATCGCTGATAGTTTTTCTTTCTTGTGATGTTTTTGTGTAAAGTATTAGGTTAATGCCTCATTAAATGACTTAGGAAATGTTACCTCAGATTTTTGTTTCCTGAAGAGACCATAGAGAACTAGTATCATTAAATATTATAATTCACCAGATGACCCAGATGGACCTGGTACTTTATGTTTTAGAAGATTAATAATCATTGATTCAATTTATTTAATAGATACAGGCCTATTTGGACGATCTCTTTCTCCTTGTGTGAGTTTTGGTAGGTTGTGTTTTTCAAAGAATTGATCTTTTTTCATCCAAGTCACTGAATTTGTGGGCCTAGACTCATACATTATATTACTCCCCCCACCCCAATTTTTTGTGGTAAAATATGCATAACATAAAATTTACCATCATAACCATTTTAAAGTGTACAGTTCAGTAGCATTAAAAACATTCATAATGCTGTGCTACCATCACTACTTTCCATCTGCACAACTCTATCATCTTCTAAAACTGAAGCTCATTAAACAGTAACTCTCAATTCTCCTTTCCCTTAGCCCCTGGAAGCCACCATTTTACTTTCTGTCTCATGATTTTGATTCCTCTAAGTACCTCATATAAGTGGAATCATAAAATATTTGTCTTTTTGTGACTGGCTTATTTCATTTAGCATAATGTCCTCAAGTTTCATCCTTCTGCAGCATCTTGCAGAATTTCCTTCCTTTTAAAGGGTGAATAACATTCCACTGTATGTATATACCACATTTTGCTTCTCCACGCATCTGCTGATGGACATTTGGGTTGCTTCCATGTTTTAGTAATTAAGAATAATTTTGCTATTAACATGGTTATACAAATATCTCTTTTTGACCTGGTTTCTACTCTTTTGGGTTTATTTTCTCAGAAGTAGAATTGCTGGATTATATGATAGTTCTATTTTTAATTTGAGGAACATTATGCTGTTTTCCACAGAAGCTGTATCATTTTACATTTCCACCAATGGTGCATAAAGATTCCAATTTTTCCACATCCTTTCTAACACTTGTTTTCTGTTTTTTGATAGCAGCCATCCTAATGGATTGAGGTGGTATCTCACTGTAGTTTTGATTTGGATTTTCCTAATGATTGGTGATGCAGAGCATCATCTCATGTTTGTTCACCATTTGCATATCTCATTTGAAGAAATGCCTATTCAAGTCTTTGCCCATTTTTCAGTGCATTTCTGTTTTTGTTATTAAGTTTTAGGAGTTATCTGTATAGTCTATTAATCCCTTATCAAATATATGATTTGTAAATATTTTCCCCATTTTGTGGTTGCCTGTTTGCTTTATTGATAGTGTCTTTTGATGCACGAAATTTTAAGAACTTTCAAGAAGCCCAATTTGTCTAGTTTTGTTGTTGGCTGCACCTTTGATGTCATAACCAAGAAAACACTGCCAGATCCACTGTCATGAAGCTTTTGTTCTATTTCTCCTCTCTGAGACTTTTATTGTTTTAGCTCTTACATTTAAATGCTTGATCCATTTTGAGTTAATTTCTTACGTTATTGGGTAAGGGTCCAAATTTAGTCTTTTGCATGTGAATAGCCAGTTTCTCCAGCACCATTTGTTAAAAAGACTGTCCTTTCTCCATTTAATGGTTTTGGTACCCCTATCAAAAATTATTTGACCACATATATATAAGGGATTATTCCTGTCTTTATTCTAGTACCAAACTGTTTTGATTACTGTAGCTTTGTAGTAAGTTTTGAAATCATGAGGTGTTGACTCAGTTTCATTCTTTTCCAAGATTGTTTAACCTCTTTGGGGTCCTTTATCCATATGAATTTTAGGATGGATTTTTCTATTTTTTGCAAAAAATGTCACTGGAAACTTGATAGGGATTGCACTGAATCTGAAAATAATTTGGGTAATATTACAAAGTTGGTCTAATCAGGTCTATCTCTAGAGGCAGCAATGGTACCATTAATTGTGGCAGCATCTAGTACCCAATGATTTTGCTGGTGGCATATGCTTTGCAGAGTGGCAGTATTGTAGCCAATGAGGTTTATCTGAGGCGCAATTATTGCTAATTGTAATGTCCATACCTAATGAAAGTATTAATTAGTAGATCAATTTTGCATTCTAATTTTCAACTCTTTATTCACCAAGTACACTCCAAGCCAGTTTCTTTGAGAATTGTAACAATTCTGAGACTCTCCCCCAAATTTTCTTTTCTTTTTTTTTAAGTAATCTCTCTGCCTAACATGGGGCTCAAACTCACAACTCTGAGATCAAGAGTCACATGCTCTACTGAGTGAGCCAGCCAGCCAGATGCCCCCCCCAAACTTACTTACTTCTTTCTATTGGAATCATTTTCTATTGCTTGAATCTGTATACCCAGATTGATACAGAAAATGTCACTTAGGTTTTTTGGAGAGAGGAGTGAGAAGGATTCTGTGATTGATTTCCTCAAAATTTTAGGACTGAAGGCAGTGAAAATACAGCTATTCTTAAGGGTTAAAACTTCAAAAAGACCTCCAATTAAAAGGGGAACCCTCCTACAGTGTTGGTGGGAATGCAAGCTGGTGCAGCCACTCTGGAAAACAGTATGGAGGTTCCTCAAAAAGTTGAAAATAGAGCTACCATACAATCCAGCAATTGCACTACTGGGTATTTACCCCAAAGATACAAATGTAGGGATCTGAAGGGGTATGTGCACCCCGATGTTTATAGCAGCAATGTCCACAATAGCCAAACTATGGAAAGAGCCAAGATATCCATCAACAGATGAATGGATAAAGAAGATGTGGTATATATATATATATATATATATATATATACACAATGGAATATTATGCAGACATCAAAAGGAATGAAATCTTGCCATTTGCAACGATGTGGATGGAACTGGAGGGTATTATGCTGAGCGAAATAAGTCAATCAGAGAAAGATATGTATCATATGACCTCACTGATATGAGGAATTCTTAATTTCAGGAAACAAACAGGGTTGTTGGGAGTGGTGGGGGGGGGAGGGATGGGGTGGCTGGGTGATAGACATCGGGGAGGGTATGCTATGGTGAGCGCTGTGAATTGTGTAAGACTGTTGAATCACAGACCTGTACCTCTGAAACAAATAATACATTATATGTTAAAAAAAAAAAAAGAAGATAGCAGGAAGGCAAGAATGAAGGGGGGAAATAGGAGGGGGAGACAAACCATGAAGAGACTATGGACTCTGAGAAACAAACTGAGGGTTCTAGAAGGGAGGGGTGGGGGGATGGGTTAGCCTGGTGATGGGTATTAAAGAGGGCACGTACTGCATGGAGCACTGGGTGTTATACGCAAACAATGAATCATGGAACACTACATCAAAAACTAATGATGTAATGTATGGTGATTAACATAACAATAATAATTAAAAAAGAAAAGAAAACCTAAAAAAAAAAAAAGACCTCCAATTAATAGAACAAAAACTAGTCCTATTTTCATATGTGGTCATTTGGAAGGAAACATCCACTGAATATAAAGCCTTGGAGGCAGCCAGGAACTGCTGCTGCAGAGTAAATGAGGGGCAAGATAAATTTCAACAAATGTGGAGGTCTTTGTTTTTTTCCTACTCTAAAAACCGTGGAAAGCTTAAACAAATAAAAATATAAGTCCAGATTTCCATAGCCTTGGCTCATGTCATACACTGACGATCAAAACTTCGTATTACTGCACTACACTTTTTTTTTGAAGCCATAGTTTTTAGGCAGACTAAAATCAAGCTCACATTTTGATCCTGTGCTTTATTGAGTTTCAAAAGACATTTAAATCCACAGACTCTCCATACGATATGTTCACATTGATTGGCAAAAAAACAGAATGGAGATATTTTGATATTAAGTCCTGAACTCTCAAATTTTACTGAAACATACTTAGCAGCTGAAGCAGCTCTTCTTTCCATATTTGATAAGACTTTTCCTTCCCAGTTTGAAGGGTCTGATAATCTAAAAGCAGTAGAGGACCAGAGGCCAATTCTCTTTATTACTAAAACTGGCCATCCTTTGTAATTCCTATTTAATTAAAGTTATACTTGTGCTACCTGAAAGAAGTGGGAAGGGTAATTACAGTGTCAAATTTTGAACAAAATAGTATATACTTGCAAAGACAAATGTGTTTTGAGAAAGTATATACAAATTAAAATCACAAGGATACATAAGAAAATTTATGCTGGGTATGTTCAATCAAATATAGAAATGTACAAGTTTTGAAAAAAGTGAAATTATCAGCATGGGATTTCTATCAGATCAAAGTTCTAGCAGGAGCAGCTGGAAGAACATACACTTGTTCCATTTCAATGATTGTTGGAAACCTGGATCTATAATAGATAAACTTAAGTCAAGTAGGCAGAATTCTTTGGCAAATGTACAGGGTAGAATTTAGAGATTTAGATAAGAATATTTTAGTGGAATTATTAAAAGCAATCTGTGTTGGGCGCCTGGGTGGCTCAGTTGGTTAAGCGACTGCCTTCGGCTCAGGTCATGATCCTAGGGTCCTGGGATCGAGTCCCACATCGGGCTCCCGGCTCAGCAGGAAGCCTGCTTCTCCCTCTCCTACTCCCCCTGCTTGTGTTCCTGCTCTCGCTGTCTCTGTCTCTGTCAAATAAATAAATAAAATCTTTAAAAAAAAAAGCAATCTGTGTACACACTTTCTAACTTTATTGCAGAGGGTCCATAATCATACCTTTCCAGCTAAGTAATGAATAACATGTCGGTGAAGATAGAGTTGCATCTTTGAAAAGCAGAAACTGATATTGATAGGCCAGGGCTGCTGGTTAAAGATGCCTTAAATGGGTTCTCTCATTTCGGTAGGAATGCTGGTTTCACACTGAGGCATAGCCCAAGTAATGGCATTTCAGTGCTGAAAAAAAGTGAGTTTGGTTTTCATAATGAGAAGGAGGATTTTTTTGTTAATCAGAATGTTCTGGTTTGCAGAAGTTGTTTGTCTTGTGGTCCTAGGACTGACATAGTAAGACAAACCACTAAGTTAATATTAAGTTTTGCATTGGAAAAAACAAAAATTAAATGTGAAAACATAGGTCTGACTTGAGCAGATGTAAGAGAATTACAGCTTCTCACCCAATTTCCAAATATGTCAGTTCACAGATCTAATACTTTTTAAATAAAGTGAAGCTCAAGTACTTTTAAAATACAACCTCAAAATAATATGACAAGTATATCTTGTGGATCTTTTCCTCAGAAGATCCAAAAGGAGGTCAATGACAAGCAGCTATACTTTGGAAAAAAATTGAGATATCCTTAGTGGATGTTCAATACTGGATATGAGCTAATAGTAATCCCTGGAAAACGGTGGTTTGGCAATCATAGTGGTGTCAGATAATTAACGAAATTTTAACCTGAGTCTGCCTCAAAATGGTATGACGGGAAACCCTAATGTCTTCTCATAATTACTTTCCATGTTTCTGCATATTGTATGCAAAAATATGCATGCATGTATCTACTTATTTATTTATATATCTAACAAGTGGCAGAAGTCACAAACCCTACCTTGACACCCTGACCCACAAAATATGAATTTCCATGGTAAAAACGACCATGTAGAAGGTTCTAGAATGCCTCCTGACCAAAAGAGTAAATAAAAAACAATAGCAACTTTGGAGAAATCACAGAGATTAGTGCTTAAATCTAGAACCTGAAGCTATAATACTGGATACTGGAATTTCAACTCTTTGGCAGGTAAAAAGACATAAGGATCTTGGTTATAATAACTTAATTTGCTGATTACTTCTAGAGCAATTACTTTTCCCTGTAACTTAATTTGCTGATTACTTCTAGAGCAATTACTTTTCTCTGTATTAAAGCTAGTCAGCAGAGCACAAAGGAGCTGGTATACAATTGCAGATCCAGTAAATTCTCCTTTTCTCCCAATCCCAGTTAATAGAGAATATCAGATTGTTATGACTTTTCAGGAAACGACTATAACTGAAACATCTTGTCTTATGGTAACATCATCTCTCTTACTTTGTGTCACAATCTGGTTCCCGTTGTCTTAGATTTTCTCACCTTATTAGAGGTCATCATGCTGAAATGATCTGAAGCCAGCAATAGCAACAATACCATGTTCACTCAAGAAGACCAATATCTGTCTGTAAATGGAAAACTAATTTCACAAAAATACAGGAACCAGACAACTAATTGAAATCCTGAGAACAAATATACTTGTGGAATGATGACATAGAGCCTTCACAGTAAAAGATAAGTCTCTATGCTATCTATCCCTATGCTACAAAGAAAAACTCACAAAACTTGGGGTTCCTTAAATTTTGAAGACAACATATGTCAAAACTAGATGTTCTACTTCAATTGATTCAAAAGACTTTCCCCTTGGAGTTGGATTCAAACAAAGAAAGTACCTTTTAGGTGATCCCAAACTGTAATTTAGCCTGCTCTATTTCTTGATTTTTATGAAATTCAGTGTTTTGATTATCATCTGGTTCTTGGAATAAATGATATTTTTGATTGTTGAGAAAATTTTTCAAGGCTAGATATATGGATAGACCTCTTGGAATGCATCCATAACATGAAAATATTTGTGTGTCATGTGAATGTGCAAACAGTGCCTCCACTTTGAGGTGGCTCTCAATAATTGGGTGGATCATATGATCCACCTTGTGAATATCAGTCAATTTCTATTACAAACTGCCTATTTATTTAATGGACCCATGAATACTAAGTGTCAATCATCACACAAATGAAAGTTATGCACAGGCTCAATAAATTACTTAAGAGAGGAGATAATATTCATAAACAATTCATAAGTCAGAGAAGACAAAAAAAACACATTAGAGTATATTTCAGGCTTAAAGACAAAGTAACTATCCTCGATTATGCAGCCTAGTTAATATAATGTCTCTTATAATTAGTTATTCCTCTCTTGGAAAGAATTAAGTAAGAAGAGAACTAGCTAAAATTCCTTTCACTAGGTAGGAATTGGATGACTTTCCTTATTTATGTGTTTTAGTAGGAATGTAGTAAAGAGAGAAGAGTTCCTTTCCTACACAGCCCTCAGATACTGGGACTAGAATTAAAAAAAAAAAAAAAAAACTAGAATAGAAAAAAAACATCTAGATGATGTTACCATAAGTCAATAATAAAAAAGAAATAT